GTCTGCAGAAAGCAGGCATCGAGAACGTGTAAGTGGAATGGGCGAATTCACACGATTTGTTAACAGTGTGGCGTAGGTCGAAAGTCTGTTTAGAAGGAAGCCACACTGCTATTCTGTGTTTGTGTGGTAGCGTTGGCTATTGCATATCGCCTCTTTTCCGACACCTTTTACAAGCATTCTCCTGGAGGCTGATTTAGGTAATCCTTCAATAGTTGGTTCGCTCCCAGTCATCACGCTTCTTGAACAAGGATATTATTACCCCAGTTCTCCAGTTCACCGGTGTCTTCCCCGTAATCATTGCAGTTTGACAGACATGCGTTAACCGCAGTATGCCTTATTCGCCTGTAGTTTTCAGCATCTTTCTTACGGCATATTTTATCGTTTTCCGCAGCCTTGCCATTCTCAAGTTTTTTACAGTTTTCATAACTGCACTTACTGAAAGTTTATATCTTTTGCCTGATTCTTTTCGGGCAAGTTTTTCTGAGATTACTAGGGGTTAAGACTTCTTTATAGTCTTGTTGACATCGCCCATGTAACCTTTTTCCTAGATAGAAGGTTTCTGGGCTTGTCCTTCAGGACTCTTAGACTATCCTTTTTTCATCTGACCAGAATGCCTTGTCTGGAGGTTCGACTACAGCACCTCACTGATCTTTTCCTCGTCTGTTAACTTTGTTACTGGTTTTTTCGCTATTACGTCTCCCATTATCTTCCTTTTTCTCTAGTTTCGTTTTCTTTGAACTATTTTTCGATCGCTCGACTCGATTGCCACTTGATGGAGTGGTTTTTTACTATGTTGTGTTTTGTCATTGCTGTACCTTTATCGTCTGCCTGCTGAAACAGGTCATATGTTCCCGTATCGTGGGGTTTTCGTTCTGTTTGTTTGATGTAGGTGTCACTACAAGTGCTGTTGAAGTGATGCCTTACCCCTGGGTTTTTTTATTGTGACACTATCGTTTTCTAATGTACAACGTTCCCTATTATCTATGGGGAACGGCATATTGTCTTAAGTTTTCAACATCTGTCGTTACCCACAGCTAGGAGCTCTTTTGTATGAGAAAGCGATCTTACCGCAACAAGAAAACCCAAGGTTCAGGCATCATCTCGATTGCACTTCTGGCGACACCTATAACGGTGAAGCTGGATGAAAATTCAGAAACAGCGTACCGAAACACAGTGCCTGCATAAGCACAGTGGTGGCAGAATACAGTATCGTGTGAAACCATGTCGCCCAGTGGTAGTCCAGTCAGATAATTCAAAATGAAGAAAACTGGAGAAAAAGGAAGACACTGGAAACCGTAATAGCGGAACAAAATCAGCAACAAACTTACTAAATTCGAAGAGCCGTACACGACTATATGATTTTGGCTACGCTGCTGCGCCGTCAGCGCTCCAGTACCTAACCTTGATGTGTTGTATTTTGTTCCATTTCTATTATCTTACTGTATATGTTTGCCATTGCACCATCTGTAATAATTGTATGCGTCGCTCCTTTAAATTCTAGTTACGATCCGGTTTCCAGTATGGCTTGTCAGTTCAACAGCCGAGGATGGGGTGGAGCATTTACAACCGCTTGGGTTTTCCTATAGGTGTTTACTACGGTGAGATGCAGAATCGTTGCGGACATTGATCCAAATTGGACAGTCACGTCGCAATCGTCATTACCTTTTAAATGATTGTATCTGTCAATCTGATGTATACCTAATGACGTGTTCAGGAAGGTCTGTAAATTATTTATGAAATTCAAGAAGTTGAAGTTCAGGCCACTGTCTCGTTCCGCTTGAAACTTCTTTGGTAGACGCATCGCACGCTTCATAAAAATGAGTTTGTTTATTATTCCATTCCAGCAGTAAACTTTCAAACATTCTTACGTTGAAGACGGACGAACAGCTGACTTTTAGTTAACGTTGTCATTTTCGCCTACTAACTTGTTCGCGGAGCGGGTTGAGATGAAATACAACTCCTCATCGTTAAGTCAACTACGTTTTATTCACTTTTGCTTAGCTGCGATGACAGAACGTCAGTCATTCGTGATTTGTGATCTTGTGTTCCTGAGTACTAGTGAGTGATTCACAGGTTAATTTTATCCGAGCCGAATGAACGCAACGAGTAAGTGGCTTAAATGCTGATGTAGCTTTCGCTTTTGCCGTCCGTTAGGCAACCAAACGTCAAGTCATTTCACCTGTTACAAACTTAACAGATGAATACGCGAAATAGCTGTTAGTAGGCATAATTCGCCCAAACCGGATTCTACATCGTTGGTGCTTCACCTTTTGCATCCGTTAAGCGCACTGGCGCTGAATGACATTTTAGGACTTGCACTGCATGAGTACATACTGTATCATTTTCCTGCAACAAGATGTGTAACCGTCATCGGTGATGTTTATAAATATCGTAGCTATAACGGGAACAAGCTTATCGAATTGAGTGTTCGAGTCTTTGAATTAGTCTTGCATTTCACTTAATATTACGAACGTTATCATCCATTCACGGGAATTGCGGTATGAGGTACAAATTTGTACAGCGTTAGTACAGAGTATTTCTCAAACTCTGACAGCTAGAGTGACATACGTTGTTATTTTATCCGCGTATCGCTATCGTTCTGCAGCCGTCGCTTCACGAGTCCATTTTTTTCCATGCGATCACTCGCTTTTAAGAGGGAGACAGCGATAACAGTTTCGCATACTCTGTTCTGGAATTAATACATACTTCTGCTTCTTATTCTTACATTCAGAATAGTGGACGATTTGTTCTTTTATCCGTACTTTCCTTAAAACCTGATTTGTTTTGTGAGTCCAGGTTATCAGGACCTTTTCAGCTGACCGTTTCGACAGTTATGCTAGTGTTCATGGCTGTCGCAGCGGTCAGGGCTTTACAATTCACTACCTTTCATCGTTCATGTGATTCTGTGCTTTGGTCGTTTGTCGCTCAACGCAGCTGAACTTTCAAGTTGGTTATGGAAAGTATCAGGTATTTGAATGGCGAACATTGCTTCTTCGTTTCTGATTCTGCCCTTTCATTTACTTCTGTTATTTTCAGGATATGTTTTCGGTTGCGTCTTACGGTAAAGCGGTCGGCAAACTTGTGTTTCTGAAGCAACTTTGTTCGAGTCTTTACGGTGTCAACGCTTCGCGTGCTCTAAACGATATTGAATATGACCGGCTGTCGAACAGGACACTCGAATCATTGTACGACTGTCTGGATGCGTTGTCAGATGTTGTTTCAAACTTACCTGCAGAATATGACGTCAGTCTGTCGAACGGCGTCCTTACCGTTAAGCTCGGTCAAGATATCGGCACTTATGTAATTAACAAACAGACTCCAAACAAGCAGATTTGGTTGTCTTCGCCGATCAGTGGCCCAAAACGTTACGACTACGTGGACAATCAATGGGTCTATCTTCATGATCAAGTCCCTTTGCACCAGCTATTAGAAACCGAACTGAAAAACACCTTCAAATGCAATCTGATTCGTTTGCCGAAACATTTTTCGATTAGTACTGACCAAACTGAACGTTACTGAATATGTAGTTTCATTTGATGAATTTAAGCAGTACTTATCTTGGTTACTATGACATTGCTGTTGTTATTGTTGCTTGGAAGTATCATCGTCTGCTTTCCTCGATCTGCTGCTTGATGAAGACGTCTCAAACATTTTGCCACCAGATTTTTTTTTGAAACTTATCCGCGCTTGTTTAATAAATTTTTTAATCTCTACATGCTGTCTGAGTTTTATTATGAATTATTTCTTGTCTCCAACAACCTAGTCTGGTAGTTTTAGTTCAGCGAAGGCTTGTTCTTCCTGCAGTGAGATCTCAGATAGCTGTTTGTGCTTTTATCCGTTCGTTAGGTTTTCTATACCGTTGCTGTTACTAACAACTCTTATTCGATGTTGAGCATTTTGTGTTTTATAAACCTTTCATGCCAAACGTCAAAGTTTCACGTCCGTATTTTTACCAGACTCGCTGCCACGCTGCTACATGATTAAATGCGTATTCGCAGCTGGTTACTTGACAAATACCGCATAAAATTACATCAATGCATTTCTGCTCAAGCTTAGATTTAGCCTTTAATTTTCCCATACCATGTAGCTTCGTTCAACTATCACTGGATTTAATTCGCACTGATCAGCACTGTCTTTCTGCCTCGATGCTATGAACAAAACTTTCTGCTGCACAACTAGCTCGAAAAGCAAAATATGGTATGTTAATGTCAACCACCCGACTGTCAGTCCAGTTCGCCATAAATTAGATTTGTTCACTTGTGACTGTATATTTGATTACGTTTCTGCATTTGAATTACGCGATCTTTTTTCCTTTTAGCACACTCGCCGTCGCTGAACTTAGAGGACTACGCAGATAGCTGTTTGCTAGTACTTTGTGTACGGATGACGGAAGTGTTTCCTTTCGCATTCTTTGGCGACAGGCTTCAAAGAAAAAGAAGCTATGAAACTGTCGTACGCGGATATAATCAGTGCCACCCATCGATCAGTCTGGCACAAAATGAACAATATGGAGGGTCTTTTAGCATCGAACCAGTTCAAAAGTGTATGCGCAATCACAGTCTACGAAATGAATGAACCGAATGCAATTATGCATGAAAACAGACAACCGCTTATTCAATCTTTTGAATTTTTCGCGTGAATCGTATCTCACCCGTGAAAAGAAGTGTAGCTGGCGTCGTTACCTGGCTCGATAATTTCCATTGTCGTGGATCGAAACTCTGTTCTTCCTCACCCATCTTGTGAGGGGTTTTTGTGACTGTTTAGTTTCGTCCAGTCCAGCTTGTCGATTACAATAAAGTAACTTGGAGATGCGCACGTTGTGCCAACCTGCTTTAGGCAAGTGTTTCAGGACTTCAGTGTCAACACGAGTTAGCAACATGTATATTTATCGTTCCCCGAGGATCTTTAGCTGGTGAGTGACATATTTGCTTATGTTTAATGGGTGCTTTTATGAGTCGATAATAGCTCATTCTGGTCGTCGGTACGAATAATCTGAATTTAAGCAGGCAGACACAATCCGCAAAACTCACAATTACACCAGTGTTACTGAAACAGCTGCAGCAACTAATCTTTTGTTTCTTACATCAGCGTTTAACTCCGCCATGGTCGGTCCCAAGCCCGGATGAGAAAGGAGGAGGGTTGGAGACTGTGGCAAGTCTCCGTAAAATTCAGCCACC